ACGGCGGCGGTCTGCAGCCTCCTCCGCAGCGGGACGTTCAGCGGGGCGAACTCGATCCTCATGCCGACTGTGGAGCTCCTCGGCCGGGTCTGCAGCTGTGCGTGCTCCCGGTGTCTGTGGAGGTGTGCGTGTGTCAGCCGTACGCGTGCTGTTGCTGCAAGCAGTAAGCGCCACTGAACTCAAAACTCTGCTCCTATCCTGCTACACTGCGCATGCGTGCTGTACACTGGGTGGTGTCCTTTTAGCCAATCGCAGCACGTGACGACACACGGCGAGAACGAGCATGTGCGGAGGCGCGTGCACGCCAGGGGACGCTCAAAAACTTTAAATAAAGTTTATTTAAAACATGAAACGCCCTAATAATAAGTCTTTTTCTTTTTTATAACTTTACAGGGAGAAAATAAAAGTTTCTAGGGTAAAGAAATAAGGAACATAGACCTTTTGACTAGTGAAGGGCAGATGAAGCCCCATGAAGCACTGAAGCTTTTCATCCAATTGGTTCACCCCAGCGCAAAGCTTCATGAAGCTCCATTTGCTCTAGTAGAACACCTACTGGACGTAAAAATAATAGCTGGCATGAATTTGTGGCCTTTTTGCACACAGCCTGTAAATGTCAACAACAAAAGGAGTGTGTAAAACATGTATATTGTAGTGATGGCAGTGTACTGTGTATATTTATAGTGGCAGTATGGAACATGATTATTTGGAAATGCCTAAGATGGAAATGATCATTTACTGTGAGGTGAGGTGTGGACAGTGGTTGTGCTTTTGTAACATTGAGGCAAGGACAGTGATTAGTGTTTAGGGGACACATCATTGGTTTTTATTTAAAAACAACAGTTTGTCCACTGTGGCAGGTCGTAGGAGATTTCTTTTTTTTCTAAACTGTCTCTAACTCTCCATCAAACACCCACATTTTGAATGAAGTCTGAGGGGTTTATACCGCTGTCATAGCTCGCGGCAAAGTTCGAACCGCTTCCTGAACCAGTCACGTGGTACAGCCGGGCAGCGAGGCTTCGGACGTCATCATTTTCAGCTCCTCCCATAAATGAAGCAAGCCTCGATACGCGCTTCGCGGAAACGCCCCCTCCATTACTTGACACACGCTTCGAAGCCTCGATACAGAACGTCCCATCACTACTTTTGACACAGGCAGGAAAATTAGAATAGCAAGTATTTATAGTACAGCAGTTTTTTGGTTCATATTTGGAATAAGCTTAAGTGACTTAAAATATTAACAAAAGTAATTCAAGATGACGGCAAACATAGGAGACGCATTCTTCCACTTACATAAATGAATAAAAACTTATGTAGCACTATTACAAAATGACAACATCTGAGATGTCAGAATCCAGATTGTCCATAAAGTAAAGAACATCCTTAGATGTGAAGGCAGGTACATTGTAGTATTAGAGGTATTAAAGATGAACTTATTATTAAATTGTTTGTCCTTTATTGCGGTGTTACCTATCGTCATGTTCTTATTAGTGAATACTTTAAGTCCTAATAATAAGTCTCTGACATCGGTGATCAATGAGGTTCATCCGGGTGAGTCAGACACGTGACCTCTCACCTCTGCGCACAGGGCTGATGACGCGCACGTCAGCAGAAACTCTCCGAGTGACGTTGCTGTTACCACGGTAACGCTATTTGTTTGGTTGCCACAACAACGCCTCCTGCTGCTGCTTCGTTTCGTTATTAGTCTTTACTGAGAGTTGTTGGTGGTTACAGATGTTTATCAATTCGCTCAGTAAACTGAAACTGGAGGATGTGACGCTTACAACAGTCTAACATGGAACGTGAACTAAGTGATTTCACGTTTCTATGGTGATCGTATCAGTTAGTGTCTTAGTGTTTGGACTCCCGATGTTACAAGATCACACGCGAGGAGAATCACTGTGAGAGGCAGACACCCGCACACACCACGTGCATGCTGCTGGTGGTTGCTGTGTTCAACCTGTCAACACAAAGAAGAAGCAGTACCGAGCTGTAATCATACTTTTCCTACTTTCTTAAAGTCTGGGTCGACAGCTCGGTGGTGCTGTGGTTAGCACTGCTGCCCCACAGCAAGAAGGTCCTGGTTCAGACCCACAGTCCGGCTGCGTTTGCAGTGGCTACTCTGGTTTTCTCCCACAGTTAGTGGGCTTGGTTAGTTGGTTTATATTACCCGTGAGCAGTGTTCCCTGTAATGTTTCACGTGTCTGCGCGAACACACAAACTCCCTGAGCGGCCCTTGGACCACTGTGAGCAACAGCAGACGTGTGCACTGTGGTCACGCCAGCATCCAATCCATCCAAGTTACATGTAATCAAATTACAGCATTCACGTTACACTACTTTTAATTAAGTGCTTTAGCCCACTTACAACGAAAAATAAAATCTTGTCCATGACCTGTAGCATGTTAACACTATTGGAAGTAAAAAAAAAAATATATATTTTCTTAATAAAGCTCTGACTTGTATTCTGAGTCTGTGGTCTGGGAGAGAGTCTGTAACTCTGTCTGCAACATACAGTAAATAATGACCAATGTTGGGCAGTTAATTATATAGTTACTTCTTCAAAAAAGTAACTGAGTTTTGCAAACAACAAAGTGTTTTGCAGCTGTTTACCTAAAAATGCAGCCAAGGTGTTTTTTAAACAAACATTTCAAACTATTTACAGAACAATCAGCTGTTCTGCATCAAATCTGATGCCACACAAATTATTTGTGCCGCTCCAAAAATAATTTGTGTCCACTATGAGATGAAGGAGAACAACAGCCTGATACCTGCAGGCCTGACAGCAGCAGATGTGTCACTGCTGTAACACCTGTAACACTCAGCAGGCGCCTCATTGTTCTGACACACACAACAACACTACTGACTAGACACTAACTACACACTAACTACACACTAACTACACACTAACTACACACTAACTACACACTAACTACACAAGATTTGCGCTAAACGTCTCAAGTCTCTCACATCTCAAAACACGCCGTCACTCCTAAAACTTCCCCCCTTCCTAAACGACTAAATGCCATGTCTGGACTGTGGGATAAGGTGGCATCGTTCTGATCCCACACGGGAGCAGCCAGTCACTGACTAACACTGCAAAACTGAATAGTTAAGGTATTTACTTTAATTTCAATTCAGGTTAGATTTTTTTTTTTGTGCGCGACGCAGATTTTCTGTGTGCAGAGACCGTGCCGGCAGTGCGCAGCTTAGAGGGAACATTGCCATGCAGATGGTTGTCTGTCTCACTGTTTGTCCTGTGATAGGCTGGTGAGCTGTCCATGGTCTACCTCACCTCTCGCCCTATCACACCTGGGATAGCCCCCCTCCAACCCTGATGAAGATAAGAGAATGGATGGAGTGGATGTTGTTTTAAATCCATTGTCTTTATTAAAGCAGTGGAAGTCTTGATCTCCTCCCCCGACTCAGCTTGAATCATGGGGATGTTCACCGTCTTAATCTTATGGAGCCTGTAAAATGCAATGTTTTAACAGCTTGACAGAAGAAGTCACCAGAGCCAACATTTTCAATGCTTTGAAATATAAAGTTCTAACATATCAAAGACCTTCTAAAAGTCCAGGCAAAGGATTAGGTTATCACCAGGGCATAGAAATGTTGATTACAGTGAGTTTTTCATGAAACCAGATTGGGTTTCATCAATGATCGGCTCCAGAAAAGCCAGTGTTGAGGCAAAAATGTTGTCGTCTGCATTCAATTAGGTCTCCAGTTATCAATAACCACATTAGGTGTGGGGATTATGTCTTCTGTTAGTGCAGGAGATAAAGAGCCTTTTCCAATCCTCTCTAATATAACGTCTAGCAGTAATGGAGCTAGCTCTTCAGAGAAAGGTTGCTAACCATCAGTTCCAGGAGATTTATTAGTTTTAAGATGATCAATCGAGGAGATGATAACTGATAAGCTATCACCTCATCATAAAAAACCTTCAATCATCTTGATTTTTCTGCTTGACCTTGTTAAGAGAGTTCATAAAAGATGGTTGCTGAGAATGAAGAAGCAGAAAGTTAGCGGCCATCCAGGTCTTTATGTCTTTAAGACATTCCTGCAGTTTAACTCATTGGTGTGTGTTATCTGGCTTCATGGACAGATAGAGCTGGGTGTCATCAGCATAGCAGTGAAAATGTATGCTATGTCTTCTAATGATACTGCCTAAGGGAAGCATGTATAATGTAAACAGAATTGGTCCTAGCACTGAACCCTGTGGAACTCCATAATTAACCTCAGTGTGTGAAGAGGACTCTCCATTTACATGCACAAACTGGAGTCCATTAGATAGATATGATACAAACCACTGCAGCGCAGTACCTGTAATACCTACAGCATGTTCTAATCGCTCTAATAGGATATTATGGTCGACAGTATCGAACGCTGCACTGAGGTCTAGCAGGACAAGCACAGAGATGAGTCCACTGTCAGAGGCCATAAGAAGATCATTTGTGACCTTCACTAAAGCTGTTTCTGTGCTGTGCTGAGCTCTGAAACCTGACTGAAACTCTTCAAATAAGCCTCTGCAGATGATCTGTTAGCTGTTTGACAACTACTCTTTCAAGGATGTTTGATATGAAAGGAAGGTTGGAGATTGGCCTATAATTAGCTAAGACTGCTGGGTCTAGAGATGGCTTTTTGAGTAAAGGTTTAACTACAGCCAGCTTGAAGGCCTGTGGTACATAGCCGATCATTAGAGATAGGTTGATCATATTTAAGATCGAAGCATTAATTAATGGCAGGACTTCTTTGAGCAGTTTTGTAGGAATGGGGTCTAAAAGACACGTTGATGGTTTGGAGGAAGTAATTATTGAAGTTAACTCAGAAAGATCAATTAGAGAAAAAGAGTCTAACTTAACATCAATGGTACTAAGAGTAGCTGTAGATAATATTACATCTGTGGGAGTAAATTAATCCTGGAAACAGTAAATCTTCTTCTGTGAGCCTGACATTACAACCTCCTAGCTTACAATAAAACAGATGAATCCATGGCGAGAGTCATTATGTTTTTAGTTTAGAGTTTATTATGTGATACAAACACACACTCTGTTCATACAGCAGATTATCTAATACACACCTGAAGTACCAAAGAAAGTTTAAAGTATAAAACTGTCACAGATTTCTGAATAAACAGGAGCACACAAGTACATAATGACTTCAACATTTAAAAGAGATTTATGTTTACAACACGTTCAGTTTACAGAGGTGATCAGATTTATTGATCCAGAATCAATAAATAAGCATCACTACTGACTGAAATAGCTCATCCAGACATCTCACACTCACAGTGAAAGGGTTAAAGGTCATTCCACTGATTTTACACACGTTACTCTCAGCTTGTCGCCTCTGCAGAGGTAAAGTTGCATTATGGGACATATAGGAAATGAAACAGCTGATCGGGAGGATGCTGGGGTGGGGGTGGGGGGGTTCTGGGTGAGCTGTGACAAATTACAGACTTATTTTATAGACCCAAGCTACACCTGGTCTATGTGTGAGCTACACCCGAGCTGCACTTTCTCTACACCTGAGCTACACCTGGTCTATGTGTGAGCTACACCCGAGCTGCACTTTCTCTACACCTGAGCTACACCTGGTCTATGTGTGAGCTACACCCGAGCTACACTTTCTCTACACCTGAGCTACACCTGGTCTATGTGTGAGCTACACCCGAGCTACACTTTCTCTACACCTGAGCTACACCTGGTCTATGTGTGAGCTACACCCGAGCTGCACTTTCTCTACACCTGAGCTACACCTGGTCTATGTGTGAGCTACATCCGAGCTGCACTTTCTCTACACCTGAGCTACACCTGGTCTATGTGTGAGCTACACCTGAGCTACACTTTCTCTACACCTGAGCTACACCTGGTCTATGTGTGAGCTACATCCGAGCTGCACTTTCTCTACACCTGAGCTACACCTGGTCTACGTGTGAGCTACATCCGAGCTGCACTTTCTCTACACCTGAGCTACACCTGGTCTATGTGTGAGCTACACCCGAGCTACACTTTCTCTACACCTGAGCTACACCTGGTCTATGTGTGAGCTACACCCGAGCTACACTTTCTCTACACCTGAGCTACACCTGGTCTATGTGTGAGCTACACCCGAGCTGCACTTTCTCTACACCTGAGCTACACCTGGTCTACGTGTGAGCTACATCCGAGCTGCACTTTCTCTACACCTGAGCTACACCTGGTCTATGTGTGAGCTACACCCGAGCTGCACTTTCTCTACACCTGAGCTACACCTGGTCTATGTGTGAGCTACACCTGAGCTACACTTTCTCTACACCTGAGCTACACCTGGTCTATGTGTGAGCTACACCCGAGCTACACTTTCTCTACACCTGAGCTGCACCTGGTCTATGTGTGAGCTACATCTGAGCTACACCTGGGCTACGTGTTAATGAAGTGGACCCAGACTTCACCTGAAATTAAATTCTTCCTAGGACTTGGACTACGTCTAGTCTACAGTTACGCCACATCTGGCTACAACTAGTCTACACCTGTCTTACACCTGGAATCTAACCTTACTTCACACCTGAGCTACACCTAGTCTACACCTGGTCTACATTTGTATTCTTATAGGGTGGCCTGGATGTGAAGTATAATGGGTGGATCAAACCAGTCTACAGGTGGACTCTGACCCCGGACAGGACCTGGACTTTAATCCCACCCAGGACCTGGACTCTGATCCACTCAGGACCTGGAATGATGAGCTCGACCTGGACCTGGACTCATGAGCCCGGCCTGGACCTGGTCTTTAATCCACCCAGGACCTGGACTCTAAACCTGCCCTGGACCTGGACTCCACGTTTCTGGTTTCTGAGAGCTGGATCTGCTGCTTTGGCCATCATGGACAGTGGCTTGTCCCTAAGACGTTGGTGCTGAGAGGCATTCAGAATGACTTGCTTTCATTCAGGGCAGGTACAAAGCTGCAGAAGAAACAAGCAGGTGAGTCACATGGTCAGAGGGCCTGTTACCTGAGGGGCAGGTGGATGTTTGAGGGGGTGGAGATTGTGGAGATTGTTACCTTTCTTTTGCTTGTACCGCTGGGATAGCATTGAGAGAACCAGAGCGAGCACCAGAACCAGGAACACAGACACTGATCTGCAGATATAGAAACACAGTTAGCTCCACCCCTTCAAAAAAGAACCAATTGTAATGCAGATAAAACTAAGTCCAGCTAAACATCCAATCAGAAGCCTTCATCCGTTTAATACAAAAACACAAACAGGAAGAGAAAACACTGAGCACTAGTAGGTTAAAAGGATCAGATGAAGAAAGGAATCAATAACAGATGAACAGCTCATCACAGAGTGTTGACTGATTGATTAAAAAGTGATTAGAGGCCACTTAATAATTACAGGAGAGTTATCCTTACATCACACTTAGGATGATCCACATTTCACCAGGGAAGACTGTGGACGAGAAAAAGGACAGTGATAAGAACTTCAGGTTCCTCTCAAGCCGTGTGAAGAAGAAGGATGAACAGGTGAGCCTACCAGGAGGTCCAGCAGTGGTCACCGTGGTGACTGTCACCGTGGTCACAGTTTGGTTCCCGCACACAGCATCAGTCCACTGCGTGCACTCAGATAGAGTGTCCCGATGTAAAGCTGGAGGACACATAGGAGGACAAATCAAGCAGTGACTGATTGCAAATAGGTAAGTCCAGCCCTTTTACTGAAAGTGTTCTTACCCGAGCAATCAGTACAGTCTTTGCACCCGATCCCTACAGTCTTGGAGCAGTTCTTCACTAGGAAGAAACCTGAGAGACACACACATGAGCTAAGAGACATGCGCAGGTGTGCACAGGTAGATCTGTTTGAGTCAAAGCTTCAGCTGCAGGAGAACACACATTAGGACTCCTTACCTCGTGCACAGGTGGGACAGCTCCCTGCAACCCCTTGTACAAAGGTCATCTTCACCAGCAGACATGCAATGCTCACCTGGGATAAGACACATAGACAGTTGGACAACAAAGTGTCAGGTAAGAAGGGCATAACTATAGCGCACCTGCCTGAGCTATACTGAAGCTATACCCTGAGTATACCTGAAGCTAAAGTCCTTTCTATTAGCCCAATCTGCTCTGTCCTGTAAGGTAACAAACACACCTGGACAGAAACCAGATTCAGCGATCCAACTTTAGACACATGTTCACCTAATCTTAATCTGTAAACAATCAGTTCAAACCCTGTTGCTAGGAGACAGAAACAAAGTTCAACAAATGTGGATTCCTGAGAATGCGGCTCCACCCCTCTGCACGTATCAGCAAAAAACGAGCCAGAACAAGCTGATCTGATCTGAGGAGTCACAAATACTCACAGACCATATCAGACCAGCGCAGAGCAAAAACCACAGACCAGGCACCTCCTGTCATGGACTTCCAGAGAGTGAAGAAGTCTGAACTGCATTAAACGTGTTTAAATCTGCAGTCAGTCGTAAAATCAGAGAAAAGTCTTCATCTCAGGACTCCTTTAACCCTTCACCTTCCTCCTCCTCTGACTTCATGTATCTTCAGTGAGCTGGCACTCCTCTCTTAAAGCTGTACATGCTTGTCCTTGTGTGCGCTTTCTTCTGCTCTCAGACTTATTCAGGCTTCCTGCCATCGTCACCTGCCCAGCACTCACCTGCAGACCGTCCATGTTGTCGTCTCCTTGCTGTCACGGTGTGAAGTGATCGAATGAGTGACCCTGCACGCTATGACCTCTTTTATACTTTTGCGCTCCACTTTAAGATGAGGAACACTCCTGAGTCATCACATTACATCAGCAAAGTGGGAGGGGCAAAGAGTTCCTTGGAAGGACTGTTATTGTCTGGGCAGAGCTCTGGCACTAACAGATGCAGTGTGACTGTTTAACTGAAGCTTTATTGTCATAAAAGGTGTAAATTGTTGTCTCTGAGAGACCTTTAATGACAGGAAGGAGACAACATGGGCCAACTCTACCTGTGTCCAGCTGTCCAGGTGCTCCTAGCAGTGGGGACTAAAGGTGATGCTGACTGAAGAGAGTGTTTTGTTACACACTCAGGTAAATGTGCAAACCTGTCAGGAATAACTACTTTCACCTGTTCAGACTGAGATCACACAGAAATTCTTAGACTCCTTTTATATCAAAACAAACATGTTGGTCCAAGACTTCTGCAGGATGCCACAAACGGTAGAGCGCCAAGATGAGGTCACTTCCTGTGAAGTATGAGTGAGCCTATCACCATTACTGATGGATGGCTAGTTTGTGTTGGTCTGTTTCAAAAAGTGCTTAAAGAAGTATTTAGACTCTTAAAGTTGCTAAAAGTACTTTGTGGCGGTGAATGAGCCGACAACAGCACGTTTTTCATTGGCTGGCTTTCCACCTGCCCTGCTTCTGTAGCACACACACCACACCCTCTCCTCAGGTCGCAGCGACATCTTTATCAGGCGACACATGAATAGATAATGGGGCCACGCGTGCGAGTCCGCCTCCCTGACATCACACCCTACCCACTGCTCCACCCCTGCCCTGCAGCTGAGCCACACCGCGCCACACCTTACCCTGAATGAGCCAGCGCTCTTTCACAGAGTTAAAAGTATCAGCAAGTGACTTTGCCCTTTCAGTGGACATTTAGCCCACTGCAGTAAAGAGAAAGTTTTGTGTTGATGGATTTGTCATCATTAGTCAGATAAAAGCTGCGTCTTGTAAAGCAGCGAGGAGTCAGAATCACTGTGAACTCTACAGACGCGCTAAAGGTCACAGACACAGGCTCTGAGTGGACCCGAGGTCTGGTTTCCTGATGAGTGTACCTTACAGCAGCAGATGGTTTGGATCTGCTCACTGTGTCAGTGCAAACATCTGGATGTGATAAATATTTACACACAGTTTCCATGGTGTCTGTTTGCAGACGTGCTCTTTGTTTCATCACACTGTGTGTGTTTGTCCGGCTAGACCCCAGTGGAGCCTTCAGTGCAATCATATCTATCTAACATCTATCATGTGAAAGGAGAGTCCTCTTCACACGCTGAGGTTACTTATGGAGCTCTGCAGGGTTCAGTGGCAGGACCAATTCTGTTTACATTATCACATATGATGTGTTTCTGGTGGCTTCACACGGGAACGGTTTGCAGCCGAGTGTGAAGCGCTGGGAATGAGAATCAGCAGCTCCAAATCTGAGGCCATGGTCCTCAGCTGGAAAAGAGTGGAGTGCCCAGTCCGGGCCGGGGACGAGTTCCTGTCCCAAGCGCGGGTGTTTAAGTATCCGTCTTGTTCACGAGTGACGGGAGACTGACAGACAGATTGGTGCTGCAGCTGGAGTGATGCAGATGCTCTACCTTAGAGATAGAAGTGAGGAGTTCGGGGGTCCAGCAGGGGCTCAGAGTAGAGCCGCTGTTCCTCCACATTGGAAGGAGCCAGCTGAGGTGGTTCGGGCATCTGACAAGGATGCCTCCTGGGCGCCTCCTGGGTGAGGTGTTCTGGGCATGTCCCACCGGGACGAGGCCCCGGGGCAGACCCAGGACACGCTGGAGAGATTATATCTCTCGGCTGGCCTGGGAACGCCTTGGTGTTCCCCCAGATAAGCTGGAGGAGGTGGCTGGGGAGAGGGAGGTCTGGGCCTCTCTGCTTGGGCTGCTGCCCCCGCGACCCGGCCCCGGATAAGCAGAAGTGGATGGATGAACTGAATATTTTTGCTCCTGGAGCATTCGCTGGTGTTCATGAAGAATGGAGGAAGCTCGTTTCTCTGTGTGTGACTGAGCAGTTCTGAACCACAAAAACACAACGACTGAAGATATGAGCGGTTGCACAGCTCACTGAAACGTGTCCTCTCTCTGTGGACAACATCTGGATCTCTGACTCTGCAGCTCATCACGTGGAGCTGGAGAGAAGGTGTGACAACAAACAGCTTGCAGTAAATACAGATCCTGGTCACAGCTGACATTGTGTGTGTTAAGACTGATCCCTGATGAGGCTCCATTGCACTTAAAGTACTTAAAGCACTTAAAGTCCTTAAAGTTCTTTTGCTCCGAGAGCTTTTAGGCTTTACTTCCCTTTTTGTAACGTTTCCTGCTGAGCCTCTGTGGATAAAGGGGGAATTAAAAATGTGTGAGGTGACTCTCAGTGTGCTGAACAGGTTGTTTTTACAACATTCATGTGTGTGCGTGAGAGATGCAGTGTGAGTGAAACTGTGGGATAAAAGCTGCTCGTTTAGAGCTGAAAATAGTTCAGGACGAGTCCTGACAGGTGCAGGACGGCTGCAGGCGTCAGTGAGAGCAACAAAGAGTTTGGCACCTCGACTGGGAGA